TTCAATTTTATTTGGTATGCATTTGTAGCAACGGCATGACAACATTTATTTGTTTTTATTTGCGTTTTATATTCATATTGATAATTCACGTTTTGTCTTGGATAATAAAGCACGGTTATGCATAATAAATTGTATGCATAATAAATATTCACTATCACTGTATGAGGTAAGAATCAACAGCTTTTTATCACATTTACACAACACTTTATGAATACAAGTCATGAACAAATCTTAAATATGGCAGGGAATGTGTTTACTTTTTTAGTTTTGATTTTGAGCAGCAAATTTGAAGTTACATGTTGGTGCTCACCAGGAATGCATAAGCAAAATTGCACAAATTTTCACTTGAAAGAATAGTAAACAATCTTGTGATTTTTTTCTGTTAAAGTTTCAAATAGTGTGTAAATTGAATACTCTCATCCCTGATTAAACAAGCGAGAATATTTTGTTTTATCTGCGAGCCAGATGCAATCATCAAAAGAGCCAAATCTGGCTTGCGAACAATAGATTCCCAACCCCTGCCCTATTCCATTCCAAGCCCCCCAAAATTGAGACATAAATGTTTTCTAAAGCATAAAAATGCATCAACATATGAAACAAATACATTTTAAAATTAGATTATTGCACAATAAATGAGATTTGGCCATAATGTAAAGAATAAAGTATAAAAATCATGGACATTTAACTTTACTGCGTTCTCATCGTTTTTTTTCCCCTCTTTAGTTCATGTTCTCTCTCAGAAGTGGTTTTTGCCTGGTGTTTTGGAAAGAACTGATCCAAGGACTTTTGCTTTTGTTGGCTTTTAACAATCCGTCGAAAATGTGCAAGGCAAACATCAGCATAGTGAACGATTGCCCGACTGGTGAACATTCACTTGAAAGAATAGTAAACAATCTTGGGATTTTTTTCTGTTAAAGTTTCAAATAGTGTGTAAATTGAATACTTTCATCCCTGATTAAACAAGTGAGAATATTTTGTTTTATCTGCGAGCCAGATGAAATCATCAAAAGAGCCATATCTGGCTCGCGAACAATCGATTCCCAACCCCTGCCCTATTCCGATGCAAGCCCCCCAAAATTGACACATAAATGTTTTCTAAAGCATAAAAATGCATCAACATATGAAACAAATACATTTTAAAATTAGATTATTGCACAATAAATGAGATTTGGCCATAATGTAAAGAATAAGGTATAAAAATCATGGACATTTAACTTTACTGCATTCTCATTGTTTTTTTTCCCCTCTTTAGTTCATGTTCTCTCTCAGAAGTGGTTTTTGCCTGGTGTTTTGGAAAGAACTGATCCAAGGACTTTTGCTTTTGTTGGCTTTTAACAATCCGTCGAAAATGTGCAAGGCAAACATCAGCATAGTGAACGATTGCCCGACTGGTGAACATTTTTTTTGAGTGATTCACATTTACGTAAAACTACCGGAACGCCTCATGGCCCGAGGGACGAGTGATGAGGACGCTGCATAGACACATATCTATCTATCGACGCACATGGAGACATATGGTAGAGGTCCCTCTTAGCCAGTGGTATGCCAGGATGATGCTCGGTAATAGCCAATGGCAGAGCAGCAATAAGTATGTTGGGTTTAGGAAACTCTTCCATTCCAAGCCCCCCAAAATTGAGACATAAATGTTTTCTAAAGCATAAAAATGCATCAACATATGAAACAAATACATTTTAAAATTAGATTATTGCACAATAAATGAGATTTGGCCATAATGTAAAGAATAAAGTATAAAAATCATGGACATTTAACTTTACTGCGTTCTCATCGTTTTTTTTCCCCTCTTTAGTTCATGTTCTCTCTCAGAAGTGGTTTTTGCCTGGTGTTTTGGAAAGAACTGATCCAAGGACTTTTGCTTTTGTCGGCTTTTAACAATCCTTCGAAAATGTGCAAGGCAAACATCAGCAGAGTGAACGATTGCCCGACTGGTGAACACTTTTTTTGAGTGATTCACATTTACGTAAAACTACCGGAACGCCTCATTGCCCGAGGGACGAGTGATGAGGACGCTGCATAGACACATATCTATCTATCGACGCACATGGAGACATATGGTAGAGGTCCCTCTTAGCCAGTGGTATGCCAGGATGATGCTCGGTAATAGCCAATGGCAGAGCAGCGATAAGTATGTTGGGTTTAGGAAACTTGGAGCTGTGAGTAGCAAGCCCATAATGTATTTTTACCTTTCGTATCTTGAAATTTCTTTCGTAACTAGAGGCAATGTTTTTCTTAGAGGTGTCAAATTAATTCGCTAATAATTAATTAGTCATATTTAGTGCATTGTGTTTTTCAATCACGTTAATCTAAATTTTAATCTCTAACTTTATTGTTTCTGTAGGTGGGTTGCCTTTTTCTAATATCCCTTTTTATGTGTTGGCTTCCTGTGTTTGAGTTCTTGAGGGTGGGGAAACAACTGTCAGTCACAGCCTGAAGCTTATATTGATTGGCTGTCATTATGTTTGGGCTTGTTTAGCATAAGCTCCTATTGGAATTGGGCTGGGCTAAGTAAGCAGCGGTGAGGAGAGGAGAGGTGGAAATGGAGGAGCATGTCAGAGTTCTCAGCCCAATGAATGGAAAATGTACATTCCAAAAACGCCCTGACGGCACGATTGATAAAAGTTGAGAGTTGCCTGATTTGGAAGAAGGAGTTTGCTTACCACCGAATCAGCTCAAGTTTAACCTACCGCATCAATGCAAAAACACCCAGTCGCGAGTGCATCCACAGCTAATATTAGCACCGAAATCGTGAGCAATATAGCGAGCTAAAGCAAACCTCTTCGACAAACTAAACTCGAGAAGAACACCCCTCGTATGAGGCATGAAGTCAGCATAGTTGCTGTGTCCTCAGTAGCCCATCAGAAATGGTTGATGTTTATTTCAGCACTTTATTTTGTCATGATGAACAGGTTATTTCTGAAGTGCTAATTTACAGCACTGTGATTTAAGGGTCTGTTTTTGAAGCAAGTTCAGTACTTGTATTGCTCAGAAAAGTGTTATTAACTGTTTTTGATATGTCAACCTAAGCACTTTTTATGGACCTGATGTTCTATTTTATTTTTATTTTGTAATTATTTGGAGATTTACAAAAACAAACAAAACAGTGATATTCCCCCCACCCAACACATTGATATCCTGGTGGTCAAAACTAAAGGTTGCAGGTGTGACTTGGGACTAGGCTCAATTACAGCAGAAAGTAAATGGCTCGGACTGCATCTGTTCAAGTCTGTTTAAAAAGAATAAAATACTTTTTTGTGATGTCAATCTTTTGATCTGCCTCAATAATGTAATGAATTTAAAATGAAAATAGTGGTTTTCTCAGTAATTTTTAGATGAAATTAAAATATAGATTAATTCGATCAATTAATTACAGATCATAATTCATCTCACAATTTTTTAATCTCCTGACAGCACTAATTTTCCTGTTGAGGCGTTTCGTAACTTGAAATTTTTCGAAGCGGTACAACTGTATAGTGTTCATCCCGAAAGTGTGAAGCAATATTGTTTACGGGCAATACTTTGAAATACGGTAAAATCCCATATATAATGCGTAACTATGTATATAATATGCCGCCCCACCGACCCACAAAAAAAATCTACCTCAAAGTATATGCTCTGGGTCCATTTGTGTCATGTTTGAAACATGTTTCATATAATTTAAGTCGTCTGTATTTCTGTCAGAACAACTACAGATTATTATTATTTTTTTTAAATTCTAGTCTGACACACACTTGGTGTTCTCAAAATCAGCATCGTTGGAGCAACTGAAGGTTATCAGGGAGTCCATAGCTGGCGTAGGCTACTGCAGAAAGCCCGCCTTCTTCAAACCAAGCAGTCTCACCACTTCCTGTACAACCATCATCACAGGTAATGTGTTAAACGCTTCACGAAAACAAAAGTGACAAGAAATTATATAAATCAAATGAAAATATACAGGAGAGGGACTTTCACTGGGGTGAGTCAGTTGATGGAGGGGGAGCGGGATTGACTAAAAGTGACCCACTACAACGTGAATGCCTCTAAAACTTCTTGTACAAGTTGGTTTAGGATTTGGGATTTCGAGAATGCCGAAAATAAAGCCAAGAAAGTCAACATGGCCTTTGTTACTCGAATGGCATAAAGTGGTTGCCAGCATACGGCGAGCAGCATAATGGACTATTGGATGCACTCATACAATGACAATGAGCAGAGGGAAAAAGTGGGCCTGTATCTTACAGATAAATCAAATGAAAATATACAGGAGAGGGACTTTCACTGGGGTGAGTCAGTTGACGGAGGGGGAGCGGGATTGACTAAAAGTGACCCACTACAACGTGAATGCCTCTAAAACTTCTTGTACAAGTTGGTTTAGGATTTGGGATTTCGAGAATGCCGAAAACAAAGCCAAGAAAGTCAACATGGCCTTTGTTACTTGAATGGCATAAAGTGGTTGCCAGCATACGGCAAGCAGCATAATGGACTATTGGATGCACTCATACAATGACAATGAGCAGAGGGAAAAAGTGGGCCTGTATCTTACAGCAGGGGTCCCCAGCCGCCGGTCCGCGGACCGGTACCGGTCCACCGGGCATTTGGTACCGGGCCGCACAGAAAGAACTTGCCTTAATTCTGTTTTATTTATTTCAGAATACGAAAGATGTTTTACATTGAAAAACTACCGGATTCTCCGTTACATCCGTCTGTGTTACGCTTGACACACGTCAAACCACACTTCTCCATCACGTGACCGATTACTTCAAAACAAAACTGCTGGAGATCGCAAATGATGGCGGCCTTAAAAGTACGTTCGAGACAACTGGATTAAAGTTATGGCTGAATACTCTGAGATCGCCACAATAGCACTGTTGCTATTTCCGACATCCTACCTGTGTGAGGCGGGGGGGTTCTGCAGCAACGGCGACGAAAACAAAATTACGAAGTAGACTGGACATAAACCACACACTTGAGGTGTCATTGTCTCCTTTTACCCCGAGATGGGACCGTCTGGTTGCAGAAAATCAAGCTCGGTGCTGTGGTGAGTCGTCATTTTCATGCACTTTGAATTTGCGTTGTATCGTATTTTGAAGGCATTAAACATTGCCATAGCGATCGGAGTGTTGCGGCCAGATTAGACGCTCCTTGTGTTTATTATTATATTTCGAAAATACCACAGTTTTCATGCAGCTCAAACCATATTATTTTGTTGTATTATTTCCGCCACAACTTAAATGCCGGTCCCTGAAAATATTGACTGACCTAAACCGGTCCATGGGGCAAAAAAGGTTGGGGGCCCCTGTCTTACAGTATATTAAAAGAACTGAGGGACTTAAGGAGAGATGGGAGTCCGCAGCTGATCGGGATTCAAGAGTAAATTAACACAGCACAAGAATTGAGGCCACGGCAGAAAAGGATCAACGTGTCATGGATCTGTTTGTGACCAACAGGTGACACTGGTGACAGGGCTCCGCGTGCAGCTGCACACCTGTTGGTCATTGTGTAATTAGTGCCACTTTAAAAGACTTGATCCCCGACCACTCAGTGTCGGGTCATTGTTGCTGTTTGTTGCTGTGTGCGCGTGTCATGTTTTGTTTTCTGTCTTGGGTTTTTTGCTACTTTGATTTTACTGGACTTTATTTAAGTGAGTTTTTGGAGTTTATTTCTCCTACGTACTCCGGTTTGTGTTTTTGTAAAATACATTTTGGCCAATCCACCCTGCTCCTCCCTGCCTCCCTGCTTTTTGGGGTCCTCCCAACAACTACCACCTTGCATAACATGACAGAATGACCCGACCATGAGTGGTCGGGCGGGAGTCCTTTTATACTAATCACATAACGACCAACAAGTGTGCAGCTGCAGGGGGAGCCCCACAGTGCCACCTGTTGGACACAAACCGAATCATGACAACTATATTGTAACCCATTAAGACATTAGACAGCACTGATCA